TATATATATTTATATATATAAAATCCTCTTCTTCTCCCTCCAGCTATGGGTTAAATAGCAGGACAGACTGGGTTCTATAGCCTTGGATGGCAACTGGTCTAGGAGAAGGACAACTCTGAATTTAAAACCTGCGGAGGTTCGTTTGTGGACCTTGTGGTACGTAGTGCACCAGGTCTCTGTATTCGTCCCTTCAAAAAGTGTGGATGGTCCTGCACGAAACCTTCACCACTATAATCAAATCTCATGTGCCGGTGTCGGACTGTCGGTTTCCTGGAAACTGATCTGCTTGACCCTCATACGTCGAACCCGACGGGAGAATCGATATATATATATATGTATTATGTAATACCTATAACCGAGTGGCGTGAAAAATAAACGGATAGTGCAATTTACAAATATGTGATGATATCAGGGAAAAAAAATTCAGTAAAAAAAATCTTTCTATAATTCTCAAAATGTGTGTGTGTGTGTGTGTGATCGGATGTTTATGCGTTTCCAAAGTTTTCATCCGATTTCGTTAAATTTTTTTTTGTTTGATAGATAATTCTTCAGTGTCGGTCTTAAATTGGCTGTAAAAAATTACAACTTTGAAGGTGAAAAAGTGCAAAAACTTTGCGCAAAAATCAAAGGCAAAATTTAATGTCTGGCAAAAACAGCGTACAAATCAATTCACAGGGTTGAAATCTAACGCAGAAGATTATTAGCATTATAAAAAAAAATATATTATAAATAAAAATTATCGTATATTATTATTATGACAGTCCATGGAAGAGGGCCCATCCTTGCAAAATTGAGAACGCAAAAGCGGCCCTTTTCAGGTCCACCCCCTTATTCAAATTGTTACCCCCCCCCACCATTTGAGGGATGTGTCTCAGTTGCACCCAAATGTTACTAATATTGATTTTCGTGTGGGCTGACTTTAAACTTAATCTGCTCCAATTGAACAGGTAAAATTCCCAGTAATGAAACACCCGGTCAAAGACAGGCTATTATGCTGCATATATATATATATATATATATGTGTGTGTGTATGTATATATATATATATATATGATATGTATGTGTGTGTGTGTGTGTGCGTGCGTGTCTGTCTGTGTGTGTTTATTAAAACAGAAAAGATTCCGTGTCATTGCATTTCGTCCTTTTATTAAAAATGAAATGTTTAGGTTGATGCATCAATACATGCACCCCCGGAAGGAGAGGTGACGCTGAAATGTTTAACTTTTAAATTATTCTTTTCTATTTTATTTTAACTAGGCACGAACTAAGAATGGAAGATGAGAAGAAGCCATATTTGAAAAGGATGAAAACGATATAACGTAAAAAACAAGAAGGTAGAAAAACAATTAGACAGAGAAACAGATAGATATAGACATATATATATATATATATATATATATATATATATATATATATATATATAGAGAGAGAGAGAGAGAGAGAGAGAGAAAGAGAGATAGATATATGGATAGATATCAACAACTGAGATAGATATGAAAAGGCTGAGATAGATGGATGGATAGATAGATATAAAGATAGATAGATAGAAATATGAGATAGATAAATATAAGTAGACAATTAGATAGATAGATAGATAGATAGATAGATAGATAGATAGATAGATAGATAGATGAGATAGATAGATAGATAGAAGATAGATAGATGGATATTAGAATCAATGTTAATAGATAGATAGATAGATAGATGAATAGATAGATAGATAGATGAATTGATATGAACAGACTGAGAACCTAGATGGATAGATGCTATATATAGATATTGATATAGATATGAACAGACTGAGATAGATAGATTGTCCTGGATAATGATATGATGGATAGATGGATAGATAGATAAAAACAGACTGAGATGATAGATAGATGAATGAATGAGATAGATATAGATGAGAATAGATAAATGGATGATAGATAAATAGATAGATAGATAGAATGGATGAATGATATGAACTGTCTGTGATAATATGATCATGCTGAATAAGATAGATATAAGTTTGTAAGATAGATTTTAAATAAATATGAACAGACTGAATAGATAGATAGATAGATAGATAATGGATGAATATAAAATGATGTTATGGATAAATATAAACTGAGAAGATGATAAATAATATATGGATGGCATAAATATATATATATATATATATATATATATATATATAATATTATAAAAAATTGAAAATAAAATGAATTAATTTTTAAATATATACATATTTCCTTTAGAAATAAACAATGAATTTTATTTTGCATATAAATTAAAATTATATATATATATATATATATATATATATATATATATATATAGAGAGAGATTCCTTTTTTAAGAGATTTTAGATAGATATGATCAGACTGAGATAGCGAGATATGATCAGATTGAGATAGAGAGATAAATATGGACATACTGGGATAGATAGATAGATAGATAGATAAATAGATAGATAGATAGATGGATAACTAGATAGATATTTGTAACTCGTCAAGGTCTTTTAAGAAATTAAAAAAAAAAAAGAAAGAAAGAAATAAAAAGAAAAGAGTGAAAAGAAAGATAAAGGAAGAATGAAAAAATAAGAAATATAGATAGGAAAATAGGTAAGGAAACGACCCAGATAGATAGGAACAAAAAAAAAAACGTAAAGAAAAAGAAAGAAAGAAAAAGAACATCGAAAAAAGTAAATCTAATCAAGTGAATCGCCGAGGAAAAAAAAATTAATGAATTGGAATTGTTTTTTTTTTTTTTCTTATTTCGTTTTTCAATTTCCCGTTCGTATTCCTTTCTGTTCTTAAAGCCTTTGTAACGAAATTTGGACGTTGGTTCAAGCCAGACCATATGTCAAAAATGCCAAGGGATGTAACTCGTCCGGCTCACAACACTCCACTGTCCACTTGAACCGACGTCAACCAACGCCTGTGTTGAAGGCGGATTAATTAACAGATTACAACACAGATTTGCATAAATTAAGAGACAACGGCGGATTAAGTTATTTGAAAAATTATTTCTTTCTTCTGTTCTTTTACTGCGCACAACATCCCCGATAATATGACAGCGGTTTTGGGGGAGGTAGGGTCAGTCTTTCTCTTTTCTACCGAGACCGAAAACAGAGGACAAAAATTGTCTTCTTGGCCTCAATCTATGACAATGCTATTGAGCTGGGCTGTATCATTTGTCTAAAATCCCCCTTTTTATGCCATATTCCTTCAGGGCTTTTGCGATCATGGCTCTCCACAGATTTTTTTTTATTATGTGTGAATTGTGATGACATTTTGCGAAAGACAGTGGAGTAGTTTCCCATTGTCTTCTCTCCGGTTTGGAATTCAGGGTTATCTTACTCCTAGACTGGCTGCCATCCAAGGCTAAGAGAATCCTGTCTAGCCTACTACTTAACACATTTGCTTTGAATGCCACACCCCCTCAATTTGTAGGCGATCATGGCTCTCCACGGATTCATTTTCTTTATTATTTGTGTGACAGGAAATTGTGGAGAGCCTTAATCACCAAAGACCTGAAGGGACACGGCACAAAGAAGAAGAAAAAGAAGGTTTGGAATTAATAGTAGTTCTTTATTCCATGTCACTTCCGGACAGAGATGGTCACGGCTCTCCACATATTCCTTTTTTTTTATTTTGAATTGCCATGACATCTTGGGGGGAAATAAAGGGAGTCTTTCTCGTTGGCTTCATCGCAATTTTGAATTCAGGTTTTCCTTTTATTTGGTACATATATATATATATATATATATATATATATATATATATATATATATATATATATATATATATATATATATATATATATATATATATATATATATATATATATATATATATATATATATATAAAATAAAAATTTAAAGAGAGTTAAAAAAACGTTTTGGTTGTAATTTTTGTTTAGAAAAAATATTATGCTTTGTATTTTTTTAAATAAATCACATTTTTAAATAAATTTAATATAATAAAATTTTGACGTTGGAATCACTACAACATATTTCTTTTATATATATATATATATATATATATATATATATATATATATATATATATATATATATATATTAAATACATTTTATGTTTAACGTTCTTTTTATAGATACAAGTATTTAAGTAAACGCTCTGTATTTTTTAAATTTAAAAATTAGTTTTAAACACATACATAAATTCATAAAAAAATCTTTAAATATACAAGTAGGAAATAATGCCGAAAGACATTTTGCCGTTAAAAATAAAAATAAAATAACCTCGACGACATGCACTTAACGGATATCAGAATTCGTTGAAAAATACACCCCTACCCTCCCTAAACTTAACATCTTTTTCGAACGTAACTCATAATAGATACAAAAATAGTTAATAAAAATGTACACGCTACCGGCCCTTGTCTGAATGAATGGATTACTCAGTATCTCTGGAAACAAGGAATTATGAATTTAAAATTTAGAAATAAGTTATTCCAATATTCGCTTGAAGATTAAATAGAACGAATGCTTTTAATTTAATTACAAAATTAAATTTGAAGTTTTTAGCTTCCATTTTTGAAACAGGGTTATTACTGTGTAGCGAAAAAACATATTTTAAATCATTTAATTTATAATATATATATATATATATATATATATATATATATATATATATATATATATATATGCATGTGTTTCTTAAGAAGGCTTTTTTCGGTGATGCATTTCGCCCTTCGGATTAAAGCAAATGGTTAGGTCTATACATGACGCCCCACATTAAACCAACCCACCCGGAGGTGAGGTGCTTTCCCGTTGGCTTCAATGCGGTTTTGAATTTGGATTTTCCTTTTCTCTGTATATATATTTTTTTTTTTCGTTTTTTATTATATGTATATATACATATATACACACGAATATATATATATATATATATATATATATATATATATATATATTTCCTTTGTATATATATGTTTATATATATATATATATATATATATATATATATATATAAATAAATAATAATCTTTTTCTTAAAAAGCTTTTTCGCGTGATACAATTTGTCTTTCAGATTAAAGTACATGTTTAGGTTGATGCATCAATATATGCCTCACCCCACCCCGAAAGTGAGGGGCTTTCCCGTTGGCTTCACCGCGGTTCTGAATTCGGAGCTTTCCTTTTCTAAGTTTGGCTGATAATCAAAAATAGTGAAACCAACCTCCACTGTTATTTAACCCTTAGCTGGGGGAGTAGAGATGTTTTCATGCCTTTTCCAAGGGCATTCGTGGGAAAGTAAATCAGTGCCAATCCCAGTACTAATAACCGCTACGCTACCCACAGGTTTATTGAATTTCAAAATAAATCATTAAACTTTATTTTCTGTTGTTTACTTTTCAGAGACGTTAACTTCTATTAGTTTTGCATTCGGGTAAAAAGTCTATATGTTTTATTTCATAAGATATATCCAAGTGAAAAAATAAAATAAAATATCAAAACGAAAACAAAAATCATGGCTCTCCTCAATTTCCTACCCTTTGTAACACTTAATAATAGTTTTTAAAAATCAAGTCCCCTCTTCTATCATTAATTTGCACAAGCTCATTATGTAGTTTACCCCTGCTTGTCATCAAAATGTCCCGTGTTTATATTCGGTGGGAAAGTGATTAAGATGCCACGTCAGGGCAGATAATATTGCATATTCTTCTTTGGCTTTTATTAAGAATCTCTGAATACAGAAGGATGCTAAGGATATCATGGACTGAGCATGTGAGCAATGATGAGGTCTTGGAGAGGATGCAAACGAGGAGGAGGCTTATACTTAACATAAGGAAGAGGCAGGACATCATGGACTGAGCATGTGAGCAAGGATGAGGTCTTGGAGAGGATGCAAACGAGGACGAGGCTTATACTTAACATAAGGAAGAGGCAGGACATCATGGACCGTGCATGTGAGCAACGATGAGGTCTTGGAGAGGATGCAAACAAGGAGGAGGCTTATACTTAACATAAGGAAGAGGCAGGACATCATGGACCATGCATGTGAGCAATGATGAGGTCTTGGAGAGAATGCAAGCAAGGAGGAGGCTTATACTTAACATAAGGAAGAGGCAGGACATCATGGACTGAGCATGTGAGCAATGATGAGGTCTTGGAGAGGGTGCAAACGAGGAGGAGGCTTATACTTAACATAAGGAAGAGGCAGGACATCATGGACTGAGCATGTGAGCAATGATGAGGTCTTGGAGAGGATGCAAACGAGGACGAGGCTTATACTTAACATAAGGAAGAGGCAGGACATCATGGACTGAGCATGTGAGCAATGATGAGGTCGTGGAGAGGATGCAAACGAGGAGGAGGCTTATACTTAACATAAGGAAGAGGCAGCTGAAATGTCTGGTATACGTAATGAGAAAGGAAGGTTTGGAGAATCTGATACACACATGTTGAATAGAGGGAAAGAGGGACAAGGGAAAACAACGTATGATATACCTAGCAGGCTTAAGCAAGTGGATGATAGATCAGGGCCTGGGGGAAGTAGCAAAGGGGGAAAAAAACTTATTAAGAGCTACAAGGGATAGGGGAAAGTGGAGAGCCATGATCACCTACGTCCTGAAGGGACAGGGCGCATAAAAAGAATAGAAATACATAGCAGAAGTACCAGACCAGATGTATTTTCGCGAGTGAATGGAGTACTTGAGAGAGAAATCACATGTTGCCACTCCATGTTCTGTCGTTTTACTCCCGGTTCATAGTGGTGATCCCATGCCACGTCCCACCCTGAAGATACGGTCCAGTAAACAATCATCTTCAACTTTATGGTGGTTCAGCAGGCCGTGTCATAATTTCTATTCCTGTATAAGTATTCATGGTACCCAACTTTGTGATATAAACTTTGCAGTGAGCCGGCATTCAGTCCCGCACATAGTACCCTGGTCGTAACTCGCCGATTGAAAAGGTCTTCATTTGACGAATAGCAGCTCTACAGTGTCGCACTGTCACACACAGCGCTGAAAGCTCATTGTACGTGTTCACATCCATTGTTTAGTCTTTCAGCATTCGTTGATGAATGCCAACGGATGCAATTTTTCCACATTGAAAGAAACCATTGACATAACTCTGCTTCATGCATATTTCATGTCAGACGCCATATTACCAGCCTACTCTATGAAACAAAGGAAACTACTATATATAACAAAGTAAAAATGAAGGACTACTGTCATATCTGTGCGAGAAAAGAAAACTGTTACACTAGAACGTATGTTTACATCTAGCAATTTCAACATTAAAATGATGAGACCTAGCTGCCAATCTAGTACTGCGCTTATATTGGTGAAGCTGAGGAACCATAGACAAAAGTTTATCTGAACAATTACCATGAAAATATCTATAGAAAAGGAAGAGGGAAGCTATATTATGGCTTAAATTCAAAAGTCTAGGTTTTGTGAAGAGGAAAGCTTTTCAGAACAATTAGCATGAAAATATTTATAGAAAAGGCATTTATAACTATATTATGGCTTAAATTCATAAAGTT